ATGCACATTTAAATAGCTGCATGTGGCTAGTGGTTATCGTATCAGACAGCGTAAGTCTTTAATGTTGTCCTTGAATTCTGCACAGCTACCACTTGTACATTTCCAAATTCTTCATATGTTCTCTTCAAACCCCTGTACTAGACTAAACAGCGCAGTGGTGACATCATCTTACTCATTAATCTTATAGATGGCTTCACATTCCTCAAGTTGATGGACAAAGATTAATACAAAACATAGGGAGAAAACTGAAACCTAATTAAAATTTTTTTTAAAAAAAGGCTAGCAACCATAACCACAAACACACGAATAGCAGAAGACAAATTAGATAATGAAACCTCATAAAAATTAAATACTTAGGCTCATCAAAAGACATTTTATCAAAAGAGCAAAAAGACAACCTACAGACTGAGAAAAATTCTTCAGAAATGACATATCCGGTAAGGGTCTAATCTTTAAAACACGTAAGAAAACTTCAACAACTCAACAACAAAAAGAAATACCAATTTAAAAAATGGGCAAAGGACTGAACAAGCACTTCACCAAAGAGGACATTCAAGTGGTCAACAAAGGTCAAAAGTACAATGAGATGGCTTCTTACGCTGGCTAAAATGGCACTGATATTAAAAACAAAACAAAAAACAGGTAACAACAAATGTTAACAAGAATGTGGGGACACATCCATTGCTAATGGGACTGTAAAATGGTACAACCAGTACGGACAATGAAATGGCACTTCCTCAAAAACGGTAGAAATAAAATTACTTTATCATTTAGTTATACCCTAATATAAATGATAAACAGACATATGCACACTATGTTTATTGCAGCATTCTTCACAATAGCAAATGGAAACAGCCTAAGCACCCTTAAATGGATGAATGGATAAGCAAAGCGTGGTACATACATATGATGGAATACTTTGCAACCATAAAGAACACTGATCAGTCCATGAAACATAACATGGATGGATAGATATGGAGGACATAATGCTAAGTACAATAAGTCAATTACATAAGGACAAATATCGTCTGATCCCACTTTTATAATAAGACAAGAATAGACATATATGCAGAAACTAATGTTCCCTGGTGGTTACCAATGATGTGTTTGTTGGGAGAGGGGAAGGGCTTACTCTTTCAAAAAAAAAAAACAAAACTACCCCACAGAGGTTGTTATTTTTGGTGATGGGAAAGGTAGCACACATAATGTAATGAGCACACCTTGAGCAAAGTAAACAATGCCACTAAGAAGCTCATAAGAGAAAAGGCTGTTCATGCTAAAGAATATGACATATAATTTGGCAACACCACAAACAGTAACTAAAAAACGAGTATATGGTCACAGAAGTAGTTATACAGGCATATATGTATGCAGGGAGGTACAGGTGAGTACACATGGGTACACATATAGAAGTATACCTATATATATATGTACATACAGATATGCATGTGCACACATACATACTCATAAAGGACATAGTTACAGATACTTTTCTAACAAAACCAAATACCTGGAGAGAACGATTTTCTAGGTTTGTATGCTTAATGACCTCAGTTTCATAGGACAACTCAATCAATTGGTATAATATAGTTCATAAAGTTCATGTTCTGTATCGTAATGAGGAGAACAGTGTCTGAGATCTTAAAAACTTTTAAGTAGCCATCAAAGTTACAACTATTGGTCTCTACTTGTTAGGAGAAAAAGAGAAAGAAGGAAATCAAAGTCTCAGAGAAGAAACTAGTCTACAGGGCTAATAGCCTACACAAGCCATGGCCTCATCTACACTCAGATCAGAAGAACTAGATGGTGCCTGGCTACTACTACCAACTGTTTTGGTCAAGGCCACAAGAGATGGACCCTAACAGAACAGGAGAAAATCGTGGAACAGAACTCAAACTCTTAAAAACTCCAGACTTAGTGGACCAGTTGAGACTAGAGTACTCTGAGACTACTGCCTTGAGATACTCTTTAAACCTTGAACTGAAACTATCCTGAGGTAGCCTATTAGCAAAATAACAAATGACATACAAAATAAAGGATATTATCCATGAATATGTTACTCTATTAAAAAACCATCTGTTTGAGACCAAAAGGTCAACATTTACTCTAAAACAAAGATGAGAAGATAAAGGGGCAGGGAAACTAGAGTACTGGAAATGGAACAACCAGAATGTAATTAAAGAGAATGCTGACACACTGTGAAAAATGTTAACTAATGTTACTGAACAACTGGTGTGACTTGTCTGTCAATTTGTTGTACTATGGTGGCTTGCATGTTGCTATAAGGCTATAAGGCTGCTATGCCACTGGTATTTCAAATACCAGCAGGGTCACCCACGGTGGAGAGGTTTCAGCAGAGCTTCTAGATGCAAACAGACTGGGAAAAACAATTTGTGTAGAAACTGTTAAATGGGAACCTAATATGCCATGTAAACTTTTACCAAAAACACAATATATATATATTTTTAAATACAAAGAAATGTATAAAATGGTAAATACATAATAAATGTTAAGACATATGTAGTGTAGAAAACAAATGTCTAAATTACTTTGGTCAAATGCATCTCTCTTGGAGATTTCAACATTTCCATGGAAAAGAACTTTTCTTCTAGTTTGTAAACTCCCATCAATTAGTTCCATGGAAAAAAGGCATTATATTTTCATCTGGATTATCTTTTATACCTAAGATTAAATGTAATTAAAAGTAATTTGGTAAAAATTTAATAGTTTAGTTCATATTTAATCTTGTTAATATATGGGTTCTTCTGTATTTCTATAGTATATAGGTGGCTTACTTCTCACAGCAGGAAAATACAGACCTAAAAACAATTCAGCAAAATTGCCTACATCTCTTGTTTCATAGGATAGGCTCAATCACTGGCATCTTCTTTGCTGTAGGAGGAAGGGGAACTCCAGTTTCATGACTTCCAGTGACCCAGCTTGTGGGCTGGAAGGTTATCAGGGAGAGTGAAATTACCCAGCCAGTCCAAATCCTAGGCTGGTAGAGTATGTGAAAGGGAGGGTCAAATGGAGGAACATATATTCTAAATTTGCCATTTACTAAGTATGTAACTTTTGATCTTTACTTTCCAAACTGGCCTATTTCACAGATTAAAAGAACTAAAAACAATAATACATACAGAAAGCACACTGGAATCTCTAATGCTACATTAATATAAGATTATTATTATTTGCATGTACCATTAACAACCAGCCCAAAGCTAATGATCGCTATTGTTGTTAGGTGCCGTTGAGTCGGCTCCAACTCTTAGCAATCTTACGTACAACAGAACAAAACACTGCCCAGTCCAGTGCCAGCCTCACAATCCTTGATATACTTGAGCCCATCGTTGCAGCCAGTGTGTCAATCCATCTCATTGAGGGCATTCCTCTTTTTTGTTGACTCTCTCTACTTTACCAAGCATGATATCCTTCTCCAGCGAATAGTCCCTTCTGACAACATGACCAAAGTAGGTCAGATGAAGTTTGGCAATTCTCACTTCCAAGGAACATTCTGGCTGCACTTCTTCCAGAACAGATTTGTTAGTTCTTTTGGCAGTCCACAGTACTTTCAGTATTCTTTGCCAACATCACAAATCAAAAAAGCATCAATTCTCCTTCTGTCTTCCTTATTCATTGTCCAGCTCTCACATACATATGAGACAATTGAAAATACCATGGCCTGGGTTAGGTACTCCTTAGTCTTCAAAGAAACATCTTTGCTCTTCAGCACTTGAAAGAGGTCTTTTGCAGCAGATTTGGCCAGTGCAATACGTCGTCTGTTGTCTTGACTGCTGTTTCCATTGGTGCTGATTATGGAACCAAGTAATATTAAATCTTTGACAATTTCAATCTTTTCTCCATTTGCCATGATGCTGCTTATTGGTCCAGTTGTAAGGATTTCTGATTTCTTTATGAGATGTACCTAACCCATACTGCAGACTGTAGTCTTCAATCTTCTTCAGTAAGTGCTTCAAGTCATCCTCACTTTCAGCAAGCAAAGTTCTGTCATCTGCCTATCATAGGTTGTTAATGAGTCTTCCTCCGATCCTGATGTCACGCTCTTCTTCATATAGTCCAGCTTCTCGGATTATTTGCTCAGCATACAGATTGAATAAGTATGGTAAAAGGATACAACCCTGACATACTCCCTTCCTGATTTTAAACCATGCAGTATGCCCTTGTTTTGTTTGAATGATAGGCTCTTGGTCTATATACAAGTTCCTCATGAGCACAATAGAATGTTCTACAATTGCCATTCTTCTCTGAACAGGTACAAATATATTTTGTATTGTGCAAACTACATGCTACACTACATTCACAGAATTAAATTTTTTTTCTTCTTTGAGAAAATGTATGACCTCAAACAAAATCATCCTCCATATGATAAAAACATGTTAATTGTTTAATTGACTTCTTGATTTTTCTTTTATATTGAGGAAAAATTGTTCCCAGTGAGAAGGAGAGCAGGTATTTTATCAAATCCAGCAAGGCTAATAGTTTTACAAAAGGAAATAAGAGTATAGAAAGGTGCAATAAAAGGAAGTGATAGTTTTATGTATGAGAAGCCATTCAGGCAATACTGAAGATTAAGTAAAGTCTACTATCCAATATAAGCCACCAAGAAAAACAATGGCGTAGTACCTAAGGCATTTGACTGCTATCCAGAAGGCTGGTGGGTCAAACCCACCAGCCTCTCCTTGGAAGGAAGACAGGGCAATCTACTTCCTTAGAGATAGCGCCTTGGAAACCCAAGGAGGGGTCACTATGAGTTGAATCAACTCGACAGCAGTGAGTTTGGTTTTTGTTTTGGTTAGTGCTAAAACACTTCATTATTTCTTTAGAAGAGATAATAACACTCAAAAATTGTAATTAAAAAAGAAACTCACAGAAAGAATTAAATGGAATGGTTAACAAGCATATAAAATCACAGGACTCAAATGGCTGAATGCAGGAAAAGATCCTAACTTTTAGATGCTTTTGTTGCAGGTTTTTCTTACCTCCTCTGCTGTGCTAACATGTCTCCTCTGAGTTTTCTTGGGGCTTAAAAGGTTTCGACGACATGAACCACTCCAAGATGGACTTGGGACAGGCTTAATAGGAAAAGATTTTTCATATGCAGACACATGGCAATGATGGTTTGACTTTCCAATAAAAGTGTTTGATAATCCACTAAAAGAAAAAAAAAAAAAGAATTTGTAAGAAAAGAATAGCAAGTAAGATATATCTATTGATTATTTTCACTTTTAAAAGTAACAAAAACAAACAGAAAGAATGAAATACGTCCCATGTGAGGGAAATGCACAAGAAGTTATATATTACTTAGTTCATATGTATTACTGCATCAGGCTCTGTGGCTCAAGAGATCTTACCAAAACCACGTAATTATTTAACATTTAATATTGTATTCCTTGAGGATTCCTAGTGGCACAGTGGTTAAGCTCTCAGATGCTAACTAAAAGGTATGAGGTTCAACCCACCAGTCATTTCGGGGAGAAAGATGAGGCTGTCTGCTTCTATAAAAATTACAGCCTTGGAAACCTTACAGGGAAATTCTACCCTGTCCTATAGGGCTATTATGAGTCAGAATTGACTCAATAGCAAGTTTATTGTAGGGAACGACACAGCTATGTAGTATGAGAATGATTATCAGACTAGACTTCTTCATAAAACCTGGGTTTCAGGAATTCTAAACACATACAAACACCTTCTGTCTTCTGCTTCTCTATTCCCCTACTCCCCAAGCCCTTTTGGAAAGAATTACTTTAAGGTTAAATATGCAAAGATAAATAAAGCTGGAGCCTCTTAATTAAGTTTTAAACTGAATTTCAAAATTTCCTGAAACACCAGCAGAGGGCTCCCATTATTCATTAAAAACACCCAAAAGGCTTTATTAGGTTGCATCGATCTCAGCTCCTTCTCTTGGCGTCACTACTGACCTCCTCTGAAAGAGAAATCTTGTTTTTATTTTTCTATACTAGTTTGTGCCATAACTAATGGGAAAAACTATTTTTGTGAAATCCAAAAGCTAGCCTTATCTCTAAGGCTACATTAAGTTTTCTCTATTATGTTCCATCTCATTTATCAATATTCAGCAATACATACTTACTGCAGCTGACCAAGTAGATTACAATAAAAATCAATTCTTTAAATCAGTGCATGGGGTATGTATCCAAATGAAATCAGATCAGGTCTAAGAAAATCAACAAGCATATACGCTCTCACTCCTTAACTCTTCAAATTCTCAAGGTTTCTCTGTGTGTTGGAGTGAGCAAAGAACAAGTACTCAAAATTTCAGGAACAGGCTATTCTCTTAGGATAGCTGGAAGCAGCTAGGAAAAGATGACAAGGGAAGTGAAGATACAATGGAGTCTCTGCTCATGCGAGAGCCTGTAAAAAGTTGTGGTTTCTCTGCTACTGAAGTTGTGGATACTGACCTGGATATTTGCCTGAAGACTCAAAACAGGTATATAAATCCCGAAAGGCCCCAATATATTCATAACCACCACGAATCCCCTCAAAACCATCTCCTCTAATAAGCTTTGGCTATCATCAAAATTTGGCATCAAGTAATCTAAATGGTAAGACTTTTAAATGGGTTTGTCCATTATCTCTACAGTTTAAGGTCCAAAAATTGTGTTCCTCTTTTAACATGTCAATGTAATAACTATCTTATAGTCATTTTTCTTACATATGAGAAAGGGCTTGTGAAGAAGACAGAAAACCTACCTTGAGGTCTTTCGGGTTTCGAGGAAGAGACTTCGGCTGTTTCTTGATTTTTGTAAAGTTGAACCTGATGCTGGAGTGGAATTTCTCCACTGACCATTTGCACTCTGGCCAAAGGTCCTTAAATCGGCTGAGCCAGGAAAGTTGTCTGAGGAAGGGTTGTCTAAAAGAATGAAAGTTTGAATAAATTAAACAAATAGCTACAGCTGGTGCCTCATATGACTGCAACCATGGCCAACATTGTATTCCAAAGTAATGTGGCATATCATCATGTCTCTCAGAGAAGAAAGATCCCAGTCTCAACTGCCAGTAAAGTTTGCAGTAAGGGAACTTCTACAAACTATAATTGATTCAGCCATACTAACCTGAAAATTGATGAAGGAGCTGAATCCTGCCACAGCCATGTGCCTTATCTGCATCAATGTGACTCCGTGGTGTCCACCAAAAGTCAACATTTTACCCCAACTATATCTTGCAAGCACTCCCAGGCCTGGGCCTGAAAGAAGGTAGGCCAGACCAGTAAGAAACCAGGTGGAGGGCCAAGGAGAATTTAATTCAAATGAGTAACAGTTATTGCTTAATAAGCAGCAGATGTCACTGTTTGTTAGCTATCATGTTTATGACTCAGGCACTCTCTCTAAGAGCAGAGATAACCTAATTGCTGCTTATTCTGGTCAGCTTATGGCAGGAATGACCCATCATATGCATCTGGTTTTAGTAATCTTCAGTCGCTTAATGCCATAGTTATCAGATGTATCAATATTCCGATGCTTGTAACTGCAATCAGAATAACTAAAGATCGTTTATTATTTGAAGCTTCTGAAGTGATGGTTTACAAGCTGAGGTACAAAAAAATCCCTTTAAGTTTCAGCTAGGAGGGGTAAAAAAAAAATGCATATCCTCCTTCCCCCATTAGCAGTATCAGGCAATTTAAAATAGCTCCTTCCAAATAGCTTCAGACATTGGACTAGAGAACTATGAGAAGCTCCCATGGAAAAACAGAAATCATTCTCTACTTTCAGAATCCTTAATGCTGACATCATTTTGAAAATCTTCTTTTGAAGCATATCACCATAAAAGTTTGCACAATATTGTGTATTTATATCATTTAAAAGATTTAATGTATCTCTTGGTAAGCTAAATAGTAAGGTAGCCTAAAACAATATGCTTTATCCTGTGGCTTTTAAATTGGTCAAGGCATCAGGATTTAGGGGAAAAAAGAGAAAAAATAAGCAGTCAGTGAGGATGTTAGTAGCAATTGATTAACCAGTGGATGAACCTAGTCTAATAATTAAAATAAATTTACTTTCAAAGTGAATTATAACTTTTTTTCTTTGCACCTATGCTTAGTACCTAGTGCTATTATTTTAAGGGTTGAGACAGCAGGCTAATGAAAATGAGCTTCATTAAAGGACCAGAAAATTATTTTCCTTAAATGCAAAGTAGTGATGATAGTAAAAATCTTTGACTTTCACTTTTTTGACTAAAATTTGACTTGGGCATTATCTAACTAGAGATGTCTATCTGAAATTAAGTCTGTCAAGAAAGCCCATTTACTCTGGCAGGTATGAAATCTTAAGACCAAGGATAAACCAGAGTAACCTCAATGGTATATGGCAGAGGCTTCAGCTTTAAAACGCAAGGAAAAAGCCTAAGATTAGTCAGTTTAACCAGAATAAGCAAGTTCCACCTCCACTCAATGAAATCCCTGAATAGTCTTCTACTGCTGATGTTGTCACGCAAAGCTAGAGAGGGACCAATAGGGGGCTGCAGATACTCTTTTTTGTTAGTGAGGGTGTTACCTGGAATTCTGTCATCATTTAAGAAATCAGAATCACAAGTGCCACACATAGATTACTTATTATGTGCACACACAAAACTAGAAGGAAATGAACATTACCTTATGCTTATGTTCCAATGTTACACTGATGAGTATTTTTCTACTTTTCTCTACTCACTTTCTATAGAGAACAGGCAATGGTATTATGGGAATAAAATAAACTATGTTTTTTTAAAGACAGCATGTCAGATAGTCACTTACTATGAAAGTAAGCATCAGTTGCTCTTGTTAACTTTAGGATTTATTTAGTCAGAGTATTAGTAGAACACTTTAAATCATCTTACCTACTAAACTGTGACAGCTTAATTTAACATATTTTCCAAAGATACGGCATGGAAAATGACTCTAAGCGTGAGCAAAATAATTTATTTTCATCATAGTCTACTTTTCTCTGTTTAATAAGAAATTTTTTTAAAATTTTATTTTCATTGTGCTCTTGAGGTCTTAAAGCCTAGCCTTAACTAAGTTAACAAAGTTAAAATGTTGCATTTTCTCTACTTTTTAAAGAATTAAAAAAAAAAAAATCAGTGCTCTTAAAAAAATCAGTGCTTTAGAGATGATGAGAACAAACAATTTGCTAGGAAGAAATTTGAAAGGTACAGTGCTTTGACTCCAAGCAATGTGTCGTACCTGAGTAATAATTTGGACTACAAGCTTCACTTCTTGTGGTACATGTAAAAGATCGGTTTAGGAGGAAGCTCCACATCTTGAATCTAAAGTTTGGGGCTTTCCTGTGTTCATTTCCATTTGGGTGGAGGAAAGGATAGCAGGGTGAGAGAGGAGATGAATACCAATACTATAGTCTGAATCAGGAGAACAAAGCAAGTAAACTGGGAACCTATTTCTAGCCCAAGCAAGAGGTTAAGACACAAGATGACTGCCCTCAGAAATCAATGTGAGGATTTTTAGAAAAAAATATATCCAAAGGAGATAGCAGAGACAAAATTCTTCAGGACTTGCAAGAAACTGGAATGGATGTGGCAAAGAAAAATCATTTTTTAAAAGTACAATGTAATGAGTATCACAAATTTTACATGTAGAAAGTGGTATATCTTTTGCTATGTATATTTTCACCAAAAAATTTTAAAAAATACATGTAAAAAGTATTATTTTAATTAAATATTTTATTATATGAAAAAAATATACAGACTCTTGGCATTCACAGATTTAAAATTCTGATTGTTAGGGAGAAATACTGATCAGAATAATACTAGAAGAAATCTGGCAGAAGCACAGTCTGAATCTTCTGCTAATAGACAGACAAGCATTCCCATTTCTATATGGCTTTATTCATTGTAGTTATTTTCTGTTCATCACTGTGTATACAGTAGTTATTACAGAATAATTATTTTTATTCCTCTAAGAAATGGCCTTCAAATAAGAGAGAAAACTTTAGTGAAAGATTGTGATATAGCAATCAACTTCCAGTATGAGGATAAATACAGGAAAAATGTAACTCTCAAGAATCATGTGACTTGAGTAGAAAGCCAGGAATCTGGTCAAATACTGCCATATTCAAGAATATGAAGATTTGAGATGATCTCAGGTATATCCTTTGTGAATATCAATGGGCTACTGAAATTTGAAAGGAAAAACATATATGTACATAAATACATATACATATGTATATAAATGCTTTTAACTCATATTATTTACAATAGCTGAAAATGGTGGCACGGTGGGAGGGCACCTAAACCATAGGAACAATAGTGAAGCGAATAAAGGCACAGGCCCATTAACCCAAATCAGAGACCCCTGGGTACAGGAGTGCTTTTGAATGAATAATAATTAGGAATTTTAGAAAGATAACGTAGTGTACTATGTAATGTTTCTTAGTGCGGAACAGCACCCTGTAATCAAACACATTGATGTATCTGCTGTGAAATGTATATATACTCACATTTAGAGAAATAAAGATGAAAATAAATAGCTTCATGTCGGTTCATGTAGGTTTTACCAAGAAAGTAATTCATGTCAGGTTAGGTTTTAATGCCAAAAAAAATATGGAAAAAAAAAAAGTTTTCAAAATTTTTGGGATTTTGATATCACACATAAGAGACTGTGCATGTATATTTAAATCCTATGATTACATATAAATAGAAAATTATAAACATGAAGAACAGCACATAAACAAATAGAAAAATTAAAATTAAAATATTGAGCTAAAAAGATATATATAGTGAATCATATAATGTGTACCACATTATGTGTGCACAGATAAAAACTGGAAGAGGCCACAGGTGTTGAATAAAATAAGAATTAAGTTACAATAAAGGGATTTTGAGTGCAACTTTCTGTATAATTCTTTATTAAGCAATCATTTTAATCTAAAAACATAGATTCTAACCAATGGTAAACCAGTATATGAAATTATAAGCAAAGACAGACTGAGTTCAAAAGGAAGTATCACTGATCTGATTCCATTAACCACTCAACTGCCCCTCCTCTAGGACTAATAATGAGCTATCAAAACATATTTCAGGCTCTCCACTCAACAAAAAGGTCTTTTTGGTAATAATGGTAGTTACTTTCTAAGAAGATTAACTGATTTTTCTATACAAATTATGCACATACTACGTGGAGGCAACTGCCCACCCCAGAAAAGGAAATCCAGTGTCTGGGGTAGATAAAATACCACGTACTTAAATGACATTTAAATATAATATAAATCTAAAAGAATATCATACTAACGTCTTTTTAGGGGAGGAGATCTCATCTTGCTGACAAAGAATCCTGAGGAAGCCAAATAACAACAAAAATTATTATTTGCATTTCATATTTATCATTCTCAAATTTACCTTTGTAAGAATCCCAGTGAGGCAGGTTCAATACTATTACTAGTGTTCCCATTTGTGAAGAGATTGAAGTATGAGGAGTGAAAAGATAAGAGAAGACCACTGATTCTTCAAGGTACACAAATGTCTATAATCTTCCTGAGTCATACTGCCAGGAAGCTAACCAACAAAGCTCCTTGTTTCCCAAGACAGAGGCAGAAGACTATTAGGGGTTTAAAAGCTTAGGAGGGGGACAGATGATAAGTCAGGCAAGCCAGAAGATAGGAATAGCCTAGAGAATGCTGACTTTCGTCATCATAGATCACAAATTGAATAGGCAAGCCCCTGAATATGCAAGCATGGCTGTGGCAGGTGCTAGATGGAAACATGGAATTAATATTTCCTGCCCTGATGGAGGGACATACTTTGGTAAAAATAAATCTTCAGGTTTCATGTATTCATGAAAAAGGCAAATTCTGCGCTTCGAATCATAAAACAATACCCTTTACATCACATACAATTAAAAAAAAACAGCATTGCTTTTTACAATAGTTTTTGACAAGTATGAAAATGGATTGCTAAATTATTCGAAAAAAATTAATATTTGATTGAGATTAGATCAGCAAAATGTTACAGCAACCACACACATACATATAGAAAGCTTACTAAAAATGATGTTTTAGTGGAGAAAATACCATTTTGCTTTTGACAATGCTTTTACTTTTAGAGATGATGAGAACAAACAATTTGCTAGGAAGAAATTTGAAAGGTACAGTGCCTTGACTCCAAGCAATGCGTCGTACCTGAGTAATAATTTGGACTACAAGCTTCACTTCTTGTGGTACATGTAAAAGATCGGTCCAAATTTCCTTGCCTGGAAGGCAAAATCTAAACAAAACAGAAGATTTTTCTTAAATCACATTTTCAACAGGAAAAAAAAAAATGTATCATTAAACAAAATTATATTTCAGAACTCAACATAACAGTACAAACTATTAATAAGAAAGGAAAACACAGTCAATTTGATGAAATGATTCAGGATTCAAGGGGAAATGGGTAAAATACCCATTATACAATGTAATATAAAGAATGCTTGTTACAAGGTAAACATGCATTTAGTATATCCTGTTCTGAAAGCCAGCTGTGACAGAAAACAAAGAGGCTAAAAAAATCAATCTGATCTACTTTTGACAAATATACAGATAGTTTTTAACCAAGAGAGGTACTATAGTCCTAGTACAAACTGGAAACATATGGCTATATATTCATGGTTATATTGAATCATGATTGATATATTCAATCATTATACTGAATCATGAAAATCATCACAGGATGTGGATACTACAGGTATTTAGTGCCTACAGGCCAAGGATCCTAAACATCCTGTTATGCCTGGGACAGAATTACATAGCAAAGAATTACTAAAAACTTCCTTAATGAGAAAGATTGCTTTGTAACACTGCTTCTCAAACTTTGATGTGCATATAAATCAGCTAGAGATATTGTTGAAATGGAGATTCTCACTCAGAAGACTGATATTATGATTTCTAATAAGCTCCCAGGTGATACCTGTGGTGCAGTGAATTACCTGGTATGGCTTTTCTAGCCACAGTCTTTGTGACTCTCACCAGATTAATGAATGGGGCCATGAAAATAAGGTGTATGAACTCTAATGCAAGGATTGGTTGGTTTTGCCACACTGCTGGGCTTAAAATGAGCCCTCCTAGAAGTAGAGGAGGGGATCTCACTGCCATCAAGAGAGAAGTGCTGGAGTTGGAATACAGGGTATCCTTGGACCCAAGATCCCTGCACTGGACCTCCTTGGCAGAGATGCCCCAGTAGAGACACCCTAGCAGAGACACAGCAGTAGTGGAACCAAGAGGCATGAGACAGAACAGCAACCTTGCTGGCCCATGGGGTGAGAAAGCTGAGTGCCTTGGGCAAGAGGCTTGCTAGTAGAGTAGGGTGTACCTAGGTGAACCTACTGGCAGAGCTAAAAAAACTCTGTAACACTTGCCTGAGCAGGTCAGAGGCCAGGCCGAGAGGTCAAGAGCCAGGGGGCGTGCCTGAGGGCATAGCAGAGGGGAAATTATTCTGATCAAATAATTGTATCTTTAGAGTGTTCCTGAACCTGAATTGTAACCTGCTACTTCCCTAAAAACCCCACAACCATGAGTATTATCTGTGAGTTCTGTGTGACCACTGCAACAAATTATCTAACGCCACAGAGAAGTGGTAAGTGCCTTGGGAGGGATGGTTGGTGTCAGAGCTAGTAAAAATCTGGAGGGTGATAGCATGTCTGAGCTCATAGGAATAAGCCTTGGGCTGTTGATGGTAACGTTTCCCCCTTGTGAGACTGGGGGAAGCCAGAAGGTGCTGCCTCCATGTCCTTTTAGTAATGCCAATGCTGGACCAGACTTTGAAAAACTAGACTTTCTAGTATAAGGAAAACTCAGAGCTGCTGTATATTTACACATTTCCCTCCCATTCAGTGCACAGCAATTTTAAGACACTACTTTAAAAGAAAGGAGGCCTGGTAACACAACAGCTAAGTACTTGGCTGCTAACTGAAAGGTCAGCAATTTGAACCCACCAGTAGCTCCATGGGAGAAAAGACCTGGCAATCTGTTCCTGTAAAGGATTATAGCCTAGGAAACTCTAGAAGCAGTTCTACTGTCACATGGGGTCGCTATGAGTCAGAATGGACTCAACATCACACAACAATAACAAGTTTAAAAGAACATTATCTGTATATTGGTAATTGTAGTATTCAGAGAAACAATGAAGTTTCCTAGAAGAAACTGGTCTCAAAGACTCAAACTTGGTCTGGTTCTTGTCTTTAATATATACAGTAGAATTCCAAACACTAAAACTCTTGATACTAAAAAGTTTACATATATACTTGTACTTTTAAGTTGGCATTTAAACTACACCAAAGGAAAATTTAAGATAAGTCAAAGTAGTTAATTAATTATGGGAAGAAAAGTATTCCGAACCTGATGGTCAGAAGGTAAAAGCTGGTCCTCTGGTAAACCTGTCTGTGGCAGGAGATGAGCTTTGAATACAGAGTTGTGGTTCACTAAAGTTACTTCTCCAGCATCCATCCTCATCCTATCAGCAGTATCATCTGGGGAAAGAATACAGATTACTTCAAGTCACCTAAGTCTTCTCTAAGTTTTTCCTATGAATCAATCTTTTTGCCTAACATGATCCCAAAGAACAACTCCACAAACAAAATCCCTCCTTCATCACTAACTACTAGCAAGAAAGCTCACTGTCAAAAGAGGCCCATGTACGGAAACTGGCTCATTTGGAATTGATTTGAGATCATCAACCAAACACTTCAAAACTTTTACATTTAAACAGATTAATTCAAAGTTTTTAAAATAATGATATCTTCCTGAAAGAAGTTTTAAAATGCCTTAACTGGAGAAAAATTTAAAATATAAAAAAAACAAGGAAAAAATGTCAACATTCAGAAACAAATACTGTTCACATTGGTTTATTTCCTGTTTTAACTCAAAAAGCTATTTTAAAAATTAAACCACTTAGATTATTTTTCTGTAAAAAGCATCATTTATTCATATAGTTCTTAACAGAGATAATACAAGCTCAATCATTACAATATTATGGCAGAATCTTTGTAACCATTTTTGAGACATCTGTTACTATAAAAGAGCTGGAATTAGAAAAAATGGGAGTTAAGGGAACTCAAAGACTTAATACTGAGATCAGCAATAAAAGAAAATGGAAACAAATAACCAGGAAAGAAGGAGAAAGAAAAGGTAGAGTAGTCAAAAGAAGAAGAAAAAAAAATGTAGAGGGAAGGCTAATGTGAATTAAAAACTTAAATTAAAATATAATACAAGATGTTAGAACAGTTAATTGTACAGATTTTTCTACCTTTCCTCAAAGTGGCTACAAGTCCTAACCTTGTATAGATCTCCTTTTATAGACACAAAGTACTAGGAATGAAATAGTGGGAAATGTTCCAACCACCATAATCCTCAATGCTGCTAATAAAATGAAAAATTTCTATTAATCAAAATATTTATCATATAGAAAGCAGTATATCACAGTACTAAAGAACAAGGACTCTGGAACCAGATTGCCTGTGTTCATAGCCTGTCTCTACTATTTGTAGTTCTGTAACCCTAGATAAGTTTCTTAACTTCTGCGTCTCAGTTTTCTTTTTAATAAAGGATTAAATCTTGTAAGTACTTTTAGATATCCTTGCAAGGTAAATGAGTAATATATTTTAAGTGCTTAGAATAGGACCTGGCACAGAGTAAATGTTTGCTAGTGCATAATTTCCTTTATAAATATAATGAATGAAAAAAAAAATGCTTCTCAATGACTCTATGAACAACGTCCCAAGCAAAAGAAAATTACTTTTGGTACATAACCAAACAAACAAAAAACCAAACTCACTGTCATCGAGTTGATTCAGATTCATAGCAACCCCCTTTGGGTTTCCAAGATGGAGTGGCTGGTGGGTTTGAACCGTCAACCTTCTGGTTAGCAGTCAAATGCCTTAGGCACTATGCTCCTGGAGCTCCTTGTTTGGTATATAGTGTTAGATAATTAGAATTAAGAGCTCCCCTGAAATTATCACTAAGCACAAAGATGGCAAATATTGAAAATGTTAGGAAAACCCATTCTCACACTCCAGCATGACTAATCAAAGTAACTAACAGGATTGAATGACTACTTCATTGTTACTCTTACCCATGTCAGGTCTTTTCACATCACTGACTTTAGCAAAATACAAAGTCCTATAAAAGAAAACAGAAATATTACATACTGAAACATCTACTTCATATAATTATAGAAGCCACTCAGCTGTGACATCTTTTGTGGTGGAGAAAAAATATTAAGGTGTAAGGAGAATTGACTTGATGGGAAAAGACTGAAAATCAAACCAGCCTGAGGTAATTCAAAACATTTCTGAAGCCTGTACTACAGTAAACAGCAATGCCAGATTATTCACTGAATCACAGACTATTAAAGGGAGAAGAAATACTGGAAAGCCAGTCCTTGGAAGATTATGTGATTTGCATAAGGCCATAAAGTTAGTAGTGACTATGCTGAAAGTACAACCTAGAAATTCTTCCAATCCACTGCTCTATTACCTTATGCTAAACTATTTCATAAACAAGTAACAGATCTTATGGCAGTCCAATTAAGACTTTTTTTCCGTATGTCTTACCCAGTGGCCAAATATAAAGCCACTGATACTCTGAGGACAATCAAGGAGTATTTCACAGTTGTGCTAAGTATTTTTCCCCTTCATCAATCAAACTGCTATAAACCAGAGCACCCCTGTGCCTATGTGAAATTACTTTCTCCTCTGATGTATCTGCTTTTCTAAGGAAAAGAAAGTTAAAAGCCTAACTGGTTGGGAAACAGGTTAATAAACATACTCGTGGAACATAGCTTCTTGGCAGATTTCCAAGAGTAAAGAAGGGATGGTAACAGTCACACCTTCATATATTCATAATCTTATCATCATATTTTAAAAAAGATTGAGCACTTGATCAACTACCTAGTAATACCAGGGTTTCTATCTACTTAGGAGACTGGATGATAGCAGGCATTCTTTGTGGTCACAGTAACAAAGTGCACACACAAAGGAAGACTACTTGAGCCTTTTTTGGCACAGCTACATCTAGCCTTACCAGAGAGGATTCCCAAAGAATTTAAGCCTTAGATTTAGGGTTCAAATGTATTTCTAAGCGCTCAATTTCACAAAACACTTCTCTGGAAAATTTCCGCAGTATTCTTTCCTCTTTTTTCTTTTTTAATAAAGCACGATTCTCTGTGTTCCCGATTAAAGGGAAAAAAAACCATACCAACAAATAAAGTAACAGGAGATCTGTCACTTTTTCACACTTCATGCTGATAGGGCCCTCCGTAAGTATTACCACCGGCCTTTTTTTGTTATAGTAATAAGCTCTGGAAGCATAATGCCTAAGGCACTTGACTGCTGACCAGAAGGCTGGCAGTTCAAACCCACCAGCCACTCCTTGCAAGAAGGTTGGGCAATCTACTTCCATAGTGATACTGCCTCGGAAACCCAAGGAGGGGTCACTATGAGTCGGGTCAGACTCTCGACAGCACATAACAACAATTAGAATGGCAATTTGAAAAGCCTGCATTTTGCTGAGATGAAAGTGAAGAGGGAAGCAAGTTAAAAATTCACAGAATTTTCAAGATTCAAGATTATGTCCAGAGAGGTTAAATGACTTGCCTGAAATCACACAGGTGGGGCAAAGGGTGGACAAGAATCCAGGTATCCTGACTCCAGGCAAGTGTGCTTTCAACAAACATCACACAGCTTCCTAGACACTAGCAAGATAAAAGTAATCCCTAACTAATCCTGGGGAATCTATACTGATTTATATTTTTAAGTGGTTAAAGCTCCACATGGGTATTTTAGTACAAATATATGCAGCTTCTTCAGTGTGCTTATAGTGTTTTATTTTCATCAATTTGCAATTACATTGAGAGAAGGGGTATTTTACCCCAAGATCCTCTGAAATGCTCGATCTGAAACCTCTGGTGCCACCAAAGAAAGTATTTTATAATCTTGTCAGTGTCTGAGAAATGAAGAATAAATGAATTCAAATGTTAAAGATTCTATAATTTTCAGTCTACAAATTTGACTTTCATGTCCTGTAATCACAAATGTATTTTGCAAACATATGAATTTTCTTTCAAGAAAATTATTCTAATAATTCATTTTCTAGTACACACTGGTCATTTAATTTAATGAAAAGACATAGGAAGTTATAGGTATTCAGGTGAAATCAGGTTAGGCAATACGAACTCTAAAAAAAGGAAGCAGAGTTCTGATTGTAAAACATCTATAAACTTATCTACATGCAGAGGTCATTTTGAAAGAAAATGTTTGAGGATATGATGAAGTTACATAGTGAAGAAAGTACTTATTGAGAAGCAGTGTATAAAATTAGCTTTATCCAGGACCAAGATATAGTTAGGTCAATTTTATGACATGGGAAGGGTGTGGAAATGACTCACTGTAATCAATCTACACTAAGTGCTGGAAAATAATTATGTATATGGCCCAGTTTCTACTATATCATCATGTACTTGTTTTTGTTTTTCATACTTTAAATGTAATCTCTCCCAATTAGACTAACATCTTAGAGGTGAGGGCTACGCATTCAGATTCTTTCATGCAACACATTAACTGTGTGCCAAGTAGGTGCCAGGTTCTGGGGATATAAAAGTAAAACTTGGTCCTGGCTGCTGAGAAACTCACTGTGTAGTAGGGGAAGCCAGATCCTGAAACAGATACTTACAGCAAAACAATAAAGCTGGTGCAATTAGAAGTAAGGGAATCCAGGAGAAAGAAAAGACAGAGTTCAAAAGCAGTGATCAACAGTTACATCACTTAAGCCAGAAGTAGCAGAACCTGTATCCATCCACACCCTCTAGATTTGACTCATTAAATGAGTGACATCAAGACCATCTCTGCAGTCAGGATGATTAACTGAAAGCAAGTAAAAATGAAGGAGGCTTCTCAGGAGAAAAACAATTGAGGCTCCCTGAAAGGGACTGGAGGGAAAAAAGGAAGGAAATCTGGAAACTGGAAGCTTAAGGGATTATGCTTAAAGAAATGCTTAAAGTTTCACCGTAATCTTTTTAATTCAGTGTGATTTGTATTTCAACAGATTATCTTTATGAAAAACAAAGATTGAGAAGGTGATATGATCTATTCCATCCAGAATATCCAATTGGAACAAAGACTCTACGTCAAACAGTTTGTAGCTTACAAAGATTTTGTATAAATTTTACAGGAACCACCATCCCAGATATAATAGAGTACCAAACGTGAAGTGAAATGACTTTAACAAGGCTGACTTGAAAGTGATAAAAGGGCAAGTTACAGCCAACAAGATAGTGGAAATACTGGAGAAGCCCCGATAAACAGAAACCACCACGCTCAAGACAAGAGAAACTGGGCATACATCCAGAGGTCATGTTAGAGTGCACCAAGAAAGAGACAATTGGAGGGAATTACCAGGAGGCGATGAGCGAGGTAAGCAAACTGTGGCAGCTAAGGGGATTTTCATAAGCTAGACAGCAAGGTCCGGACGTCTCTTTCTGGTGGTGGCACTAGCGGTATCACATCTCAGGAAAATACCATACAGTAAGAGTTGAAGAAATGTTTACGTGACTGCAGAAGTAGTCGTAAAAAATCATTCAGGTCTCAAGGAAGGCGGGAGGTGAAGCTGGTGTGACAAGAAAATTGAGCTTCCCGTCGAAAACAGTTCTTCCCTGGGAGAAGCCCCTGCTCTGGCGGGAAAGCCCCGGAACCCAGGCGGCCTCTTCCCCACAAGTAGGGTCGAGCGTCCAGATGGGCCCTGTGGTACCGGCGGGGGACAGGGGAAGACGGCGACCTCTCTGCGGTCCCGGAAAAATGGGCCTGAAGGAACGGCCTCAGGAAGCCGAACTAACCGCCGCCGGCCGAACTGCGGCCAGCGGACTGCATGACGGGGGGGGGTGGGGGGTGTCCCAGGGGGGCGGGGCAGAGGAAAAGGCGCCGGACCCACAGCCGTCCCCACTTCGGCCCAGCCCAACCCAGCTAGGCCAGTGGACCCGGTCCGGCACTGCCTCCCGACCCAGGCTCCCTCCATCCTCACCCCTCCCCCAGCTTCCCGCCGCCACTCACCGAACCGGAACCGGCTGCTATGCGAAGGGGTTTCCGGCCGGGCGCGGAACACAAAACTCGGGAACCACCACGAACCGGAAACACCTTCACATCACCGGAAGAGCTGCTCGGTGTCTGCGGAGGAGGGCGGTGGGATGGGAGGTCAAAGAGCAGAGTTGAGGACAAACGGAACGCCCGCGCGGTGTGGCGAGGGCTGCAAATCCCAGGGAGCATCAAAGGCTGTAGTCATAATTTCCCTCTTCCCCTTTCAGTTTGGGCTTTTTGCTACTTCTCATTCTCGGAATACTGTTAGTGCTCCAATTGTCCTTTTCTTTTCTCTGTTCCCTTGTTCTCCGTACCCGCCGCTTTCTGGTTCCGCAAGGCAATTTTTGCTTACACTGGGGTTTCCATGGCAGCTCTTCGCTGTGCCCCTCCGTCAGCGAGAACCTGTGGCTTGTCCGACAGATGGAGACCTAAAAGCTAAATAGAGTCTCAGGCTGAACCTTGCTTTGTTGAAAATCACAGTCTATTAGTCCTTGTACGACATATTAGAGATTTTTAGTCTAAAAGGTTCAGAGAAATGAAGTCGTTTCCCAAAGTAATAAAGTGCTTGGCAAATCTGGGAGTAGGAAACACGTTTCCTAATTTACAGTCCAGTAACTGTGCACCACAGCATGCTTAACTTACCGTTTGGCGATTAGGGAATGAGGGAGAAGCAGGTTGGGGACAGCTTAGGTTTAACTTTGGGAACACACAGAACCTTCCAGAAGAGGTGTCAGGAAAGTTATAGAGACTGACTTTCCTGGGAAGAGTTAGGGAAGGACCCAGTAGTCTGTTACCTTTAAGGACTAAGTGGCTCTGGGAAGAAGTATTGTGTTTGTTCTTTCAGACTGTTTACCAAGTCTCATTAATTTAACAGGCCTCTGGACCCAGGCTCTGTCTAGATGTCTTGGAGAAATACTGATCTAGATGAGAGCCACAATTTGAGCTTGGACTTAAATAAGAGAGGCTTGTAGTGGCCTCCACACTTTTAAATACTTTCAGCAGCTAGGAGAAGAGAATGCTTGATGAATGCAGTCAAAAGATTAGATTATTTTTATCACCATATGCTGATATTTTTATACTGTCAGATCTTAAGGCTCAGTAGTGTTGGACATACCTGGTACATGTCAGTATTGTCCATCGTAATCATTCTTCAAATGTGTTTATTTAAATTAAAGTCTGTCTCTGTTTCTAGGAGACAACCATGCATAAAGAAGAATTTCATCTGAAATTTTTCATGTGTATGATTCAATCTCACCGGTTAGTCAGGACTCCTCAAAGCACAGGTACTATTGTCTCCTGATCATACCCCAGTGCTAAAGAATGAGTCCTTATGCGGGAATTCTCAATACAGCACTTGTAACTTACTAGTGTAAATACAAGTTTCAGGGGTCAACTGACTATTCCCACTATTATATAATTTTTCACTGAGTCATGTGTTCCCGTATAAGTATCGGGTGATATTTTGACCTGGTATGTGAGATCAGGCCCTAAGCAGATAGGGAGGTCTTCGGAGTTAAGGGGGAACAGTAATTATAGTCCATGAGCTAATAGTTGATTTCACTGCTCTTTATGAATTATTTTACCGTATCCAGGCTCTTCTGTAGAAGTCTTTATTGCCTTTGTAATTGACACTCCAGAATCTGTACAATAAATCAAGCTTTAAAGAAAAAGGGCCTTCTTTTCCACCCCAGGCTCAAAGTATCTTGTATATGTCCTGCATTCCCTCCATTTATGTTATGGAAGGAGTAGAAACTTTTTTTCAGAAAGATAGTTATCAAGAAGAGTCATTGTTTCTCTAATTTGTCACTGGCTTTATGAAAATAAGGTCCTAGACAGCTGGAAGCCATAGGGAGAATGAAAGGGAGTAAGGAATATTCTCTTCCCTGGATCCCACCTTGAGGATGACCTAGAGCTATTACTTCTTAGCTGGGGAAGTTTCAACCTCCAGCATGCCCATGCAAAAGCCACCACCAGAGACAGACATCTTGAAGAATCTGGACACACTGGATGATCCAGACACCGTGGAAGGCATATCTATCTTGAAAAATTGTGAGACATGTAAGTTAATAAGGGGGAGGAGTTTGAAAAGGAGTATGGGAAAGTAAAAAGTTTATTCATAGCATTTTAAATCAGGGTAGACTTACCAAAGCTGAAGTATGAGTTAAGATGCAAAGAAAAAAGTATGTGCTTGTGTGTGTGTGTGTGTGTGTGTCAACAGGAAGTCATCTAGGAAACTGTGGAGGGAGGAACAATTCTATGAAAAATAGCATGATTTATTCAATAAATTGATTGGCTTCCTTATAAGTTACTAATCTGATTTATTCTCAGCAACCCTGATATATACAAATGTGAAATTTAAAAAATGAGTTATCATATTACAATATTATTTTAAATACTGTCAAAATATCCACCCTAGGAATCTATTTAATAACAAATTTCCCTTGTATATTTAAGGTAATGCTCATAAGAAATGAATTTGACGCTTCAGAAACCTATCTGTGATTTTCTTCTCAACTGAAACACATCTATTATTGGAATATATTGGAATCAGTTCATTGCAAACATCTATGAGTTCCCAGTATGTGTCAAATATTCTACTAGAAATGGAAGTTTGTTTTCTACATATACATGGGTGTGTGTGTGTGTGTATAAAACCTCGTCATCGCCCCAGTAGCTTACAGTTTAAAAATACCTTAGAGATTATTTAGTCCGAAGGTGCTCTGGTGGAATAGTGCCTAAGTCATTTGACTACTAACCAGAAGGTTGGCAGTTCACACACACCGGCCACTCCACAGAAGGAAGACCTGGCAATCTTCTTCTGTAAAGATTTGCCACCTCAGAAAACCCAAAGGGGGTCACTATAAATTGTAATCGAGCTCCCTTATATTTTCAGAAGGACCTTGGGTTTAATAAGGTTTTCCTCAAGAAGTTAACAATGTCATTGGAGTCATTATTACTACCAGTACCTAGGAAACATAGCAGTATTTATTTAATACTTTTTTGAGCACTTACTATTTGAAGTCATTGTACTAGGCTCAGTAGGAGATGAGAATATGATTGAGCTGCTTTCCCTGTCCCTTAGGAGATTACAGTCAAGGAGAAGGGATAATATGAAACAATGTATAAATTAAGAGCTTGGTAACTTTGGTTCAAAAAATTGAATTTCAAAAGAAGATGCCATAGAGAAGTGGGGAAGGGAGGAGCTGGCTGACTGCTTAGGCAGAGCTCCACTGAGCTCCAGCATGTTGACAGGACACTATGGTCCAAGACCCAGTGCTAAGCCGTGAAGTTGCATAAACTCAAACTAACTTCAATCTTGCTAGAATACCTGGAGTCAAGCAGACTCATAAGAAAATTATTTCTATTTAAGAATCCCAATTTACTCAGCTATTGTGGCAATCTTGTTTGCTTGCTCACTCTCTCTCTCTCTCTGTATTTGTATATATAGCAACAGAGTATGGTCTATGTCCCTTTGATCAGACTTGCTTTGTCCATGCAAAAAAAAAGGGGGCCAGGAACAAGAAATAAATTCATCTGTTGGCTTTGTCCAGTTTTTAGAATTTATGCAGATTGTTTCTTATTTGCCCTCATCTTCCCCACTTCTCTCAATCTTGTTTTGTTCCATATCTGATATTCACCTCAGACCCCCATTGTTCTGATGACTCATTTGGACCTGCTTCTCTGGTTTGAACTCAGCATTATCCCATGAATAAAAAAGTTCAACTTCTGGCTTCAAGCATTGAGGGCTCAGGTAAGAGCCACTAGAGAAGGGGAATCTAAATCTTCCCAATTGGCCCCAGTGGGGCCTCTTTTTCCCCTTCCTTCCCTGCCTCTCTCCTTGCTCCCTTCTCCCAATTTCTTTCCTTCCTTCTTCTGTCCCTTCCTCCCTCTTTTCCACTTTTCCTTTCTTCAAAAAAAATTTTTGAGTGCATAATATGACAGGCACTGTACTTGGCACTGGGAGTAAAGTAGTAAACAAAATAGGTACATTGCCTGTCCTCATAAAGTTTGTAGTTTTGTGGGTGTGAAGACAGTAATCATGTAATCACATGCATGGTTATGTAATTAGAATGGCTCTAGTACAATGAAAGAAAATAGCATCATGTAATTAGAGTGTAAAAGAGAAGACTAATCTGTCCTGAGAAGTCAGAAAAGCCCTTTGAGAAAGGAGTTAGTCAGACAAAGGGGGAAGAAGGGCTTTCCAGGGGGCAGGGACAGTAGGCGCTGGAGTGGGAAGGAAGTTGGCTCATTGGAGGAGCAGACTAGGCATGTAGGACTTGAGGGAGAAGACTAGCTGGAGCTGGAACTCTAAAGGCATGTAAGAGCCAGATCATACAATGCCTTCTAGGGTTTTTTTTTTTTTTTTAATGCATTTTATTGAAGCATTGAAATATAATTTATGTACAGTGAAATATACAAAACTAAAGTGACATGGGTCAATGCATTTTATTTATTTATTTTTGCAGTGTTCCCTCCCCACCCCTCCCACCCCTCGCAACCAACAAAGAGTTTCCCTCCATATTTAAACCTTTCCTTGACCCTCCACAACAACAAACTAATACTGTATTTGTTCTTCTGTGATTGACCTATTTCATTCAGCATAATGTCCTCCAAGTTCATCCATGTTATACGGTGTTTTGCAGACTCTACATTATTCTTTAGTGCTGCGTAGCATTCCATTGTGTGTATATACCATAGTTTGGTCATCCACTCTTCCATTGATGGGCACATAGGCTGTTTCCACATTTTTCCTATTGTAACTAGTGCTGCGATGAACATGAGTGTGCATATATCTGTTCCTGTCTTGGCTCTCACCTCTCTAGGATATATACCTATTAATGGGATTGCTGGGTCAAAGGGTATCTCCAATTTCAGCTTTCTAGGGAATTGTCATAATGCTTTCCACAGTGGTTGTATCACTTCACAGTCCCACCAGCAGTGTATGAGCATCCCAGTCTCTCCATATCCCCACCAGCATTTGTTATTTTCTGTCTCGTTGAACTTTGACATCAGTGCTGGGGTGAGA